GATGGATCAGAAGATACAAGTAACTCAGATTGTTGAGATGTCATCATAAATGTGTTTCTCAGATGTTTTGTTAAATTGAATGAAGATAATTCAAGAAAGATAAAATAAGATGATCTAAAAAGAGTCACAGAGAATAAAAAAACCTATGCATACAAAGGTAAATCACTTTCCGAATATATAATGCAGTTCGTTTCTGATTCTTTGTCTGTGAGGATACATGCACATTTCTAGATGTAACCACAGAATTCGTGATATATAGATGTCTCTTGCATAACGTTTTTTATCCACATCGAACGCAATTCATAAGAAAATAGTTACATCGTGACTATACCCACAACGCAAGTGTATGTCAATGATCTCATACTTGCAATGCAACTATCCTTCACTATTACTTTCTAAATCAAGTAGTAATTTGAGAAATATTTTTAATATTTTCGACAAAACGTCATTCGACGAATTAACATTCGACAAAATGTCGTTCGACGAAATATTATTCGACGAGCTGGCGTTCGACTAATAGTCATTCGACGATTGGCTACGTTCCCAAGTTTTCAAGGAAGTCCTAGAGCAATGCAACAGAATTATCAAAATCCAATGGGAATCGTCCGAAAATGCAGAAAACCTGATTTATTCATCACATTCAAGTGCAATCCAAGATGGAAAGAAATTGAAGAGCAGTTTTTCCTCGGTCAAACTCCTTAAGATAAGCCAGACCTTATTGAAAGAGTTTTCAAACTCAAATTAAAACAATTAACTGATGATATCGTCAGAAACCATATATTTGGGCGTACAGTGGCTTATTTGTTTGTGATCGAATTTCAAAAATGAGGATTGTTTGATTGTCACCTGCTCATCATTTTGGCGAACGAAAGCAAACCGAGAGATAGTAATTCCGTTGACCGTATCGTATCCAGTGAAATGCCAGATGCTGACCAAAATCCTCAGTTGTATGAAATGGTGAAGAGTCATATGATTCATGGACCGTGTGGAGTATTAAACAAAAATTCCCCTTGTATGGAAGATGGAAAGTACACCAAGGAATTTCCAAAAGAGTTTCGGAATGAGACAGCTCCAAATAAAGATGGCTATTTGCGATATCGAAGGCGAGATAATGGAGTCATTGCGGAGGTACGAAATTATGAGGTTGACAATCGATGGGTAGTTCCGTATAACCCACACTTGCTCATGAAATATGACGCTCATATTAATGTGGAAGCCTGTGCAACCGTGAAAAGTATTAAGTATCTATTCAAATATGCTTACAAGAGACACGATTGTGCTAATATTAAACTGGAACTACGTGCTAAAGACGGTGCAATTTTTGCCAAAACTCTGGAATGGGATGAAATTAAAGCCCATCTCGATGTTAGATATGTCAGTGCATCAGAAGCTGTATGGAGACTCTTTGAATTTCCACTACATGACAAGTCTCTGTAACAATCCAACCAAACTTGTAATGTGTTGCGTATTCTTAGCCAAACTGTTTGTAATGTACTCTTCTAGTTGTTACTCATACAAAGCTCTGTAGACTTTGATCTCTTCTTCTCTCATTTACGTTCCTAACATGCACCATCAATTTGTCCTTCACCGATACATAGTTTACAATCACTACGATCTTTTACGTTTACACACTAAAGAATGGCATTCTGTATATGCCGTTGCCAATAATCGCGTTATTAGTTGTACTCTTTCGATTTGTCCTTTCACTTCATATTGTTTACGCTGTATCAATCAAAGCCCATCTGTGCCACAAAATGGTATATAATGAACGAGAAAAATACAGTATAGCACGATTCTTGATAGTTTAGTAAAGTATTAGTTAAATAACACTTTATACAACATCTACTACATCAGAAATCGTCACAACTGGCGACCCTGGATATTGAACCAACTCTTCTTTGACCATTTAACAATCCTTGCGTTATTAGTTCAATCTTCACCAACTGCTCCATACATGACTGAACAAAAACTCCCAATCGACGAGGTTATTCGTCAAATGTCCATTACTCTAACAAAACATGGAGAGGTTATCTGACGCCTTCAGGAAACATTAGATAGTATACAGCCACACTTCGATTCTCAATTCACCACAATTCGTCAAGAAACTCAACAAGAACTATGTACCATCGAAACTAATGTCAATGCAACCGTCGCTGGTAAGGAAACTATATGGACCGAAACAACAAACAATATCAAGAATATCAACAGCGAGCTAATCGAAATACGAAAGTTAGTTCTTACAAATGGGGCTACTCAACCTACATCCCCCATTCTTCAGTTCTCAAATGCAACACCCTTGCCCAACAATGATCACGACCCACAAGTGAACTTTAGCAGCAGTCCCTTAGATGCGGAAAATGCGATGATCCAAAGATTGCTACCAACTACAAATACAATTGTACTGCCGCCAATCTCTGCTATTCCTATTTCTCCCGAAAAACCAGTAGATCGCCCACGACAATTTTTATTACGAGTAACAGAACACGCTCGACCCGTTAACAACTGGTCGACCGATGTTTTGCTTCAAGGTATCTCACAATTTCTGAAAGGTTCTGCTTTGGAATGGCATTGTCAGCTTTACATTACAAATACGCTTCCTACTAATTGGAATCAATTTGTAACTCGCTTTCTTGCTCAGTTTCATTCACCTCTTCGGGCAGCGCAGCAGGAATATGAATGGTCAGACTGTAAACAACAAGAAAACGAAACCATTAATGAATTTATTGTTCGCCTACCCTCCCTTTGTCTGGAACAAAAATCGAACGAAAAAGAAACAGATTTCATCAAACACCTATTTTTCAAAATGTGGCCTGATATGTTAACTTTTATGAATGCCTCCCGTTCAGTCTCACTTGATGAAGTAATTATTGAAGCCCAACACGTCGAAGAAATCCTTTATCTTAGAAGTAAAGAAGTACGTTTACGTAATGCACCGCAATCTAAGCCAACCTTCACTCGAGCCAATACTACACCTCTCATGTCCCTTTCTACGCCCACTCATCATTCACCATGTAGCCCATATTCTGGGGCAGCCACTCAAGCTAACCCCGCCTGCTGGCGTTGTTATGAGACTGGTCATTACTCATCGCCCGGGGGGGGGGGGGGGGGGGGGGGGGGGGGGGGGGGG